ACATCAAACTTTGTTTTTTTCGAAAAAGAATCAAATTTAGATAATGAATTTACTGATGTTCGTATTGTTGGGAGTTTCCTTTTAGTCTTTTGAATATTTGTAGAAAATACAAAAACTGATGGCACAGCATATATATTTTAAAATAGGCTTATGATAATGATCAAGAATTAGATTTTTTTTGTCTGGGATACAGTAATTGTAGTCTGATTCTAAAAAATGGTCGCTGCAGATACAGGTGTGTTTGGATGGAAGAAAATTTTCACGTTTCAAAGCAATAATCCATTTTTTACATAATTCAGAATTTTGAAAAGGAAATTTATGAAAGGATTTCTTGCCACCTTTTATGTATCTATTAGAACATCCATATGCAGCACAAGAATTTACCATTTTGTGATGAAAATAGTTGAATTAAATAAATACTTCAGCAAGGTAAAAGAAATTATGTCGCGAATTTACTCTCTACATTATATATGATATTTACTGTTTTCTGCCCGATATAATAATGGCTGATTAAAATAGTAAACAAATAAATCGGCTTCACTTTTATTTTATAAAAATCCCGAAGTTAGACATCTAGTTATTTATTTACGTCATTGGCCAACGGTTATAGAAGTACCGTTTATAAAATCAAAAAACCTTAAGCGTAATCGATAAAGATAAAATTTTAAACACAAATAAGGTTGTTTTTTTTTAAAAAAAAAACAATTTTTAAAAATAAAAGTAGGTATATATATATATAATATATATATACATATATATATATATATATATATATATATATATATATATATATATATATATATATATATATATATATATATATATATATATATATATATATATATATATATATATAATATATATATATAAAATATATTTATACATATTCATAAAAAATATATATACATTGCTTAATATAAATATTATTTATCCTAATATATGTATAATATATATATATATTGGGAAAAATAATATTTATATTATGCAATATATATATATTTTTTATAAATATGTATAAATTTATTTTATTATAAGATAAATAAAATCCTTCAAAAAAATTCAATAACCAATTTATGTACCTTTTAGTTCTTAATTATATTATGCTGTGTGCTAGAAGGTTAATAACACAACTGCATGATAGGCAACTTAGTATCTGTTTAATAAGAATCAGTCTTAGAAAAATTTGTTTTAAACAGATACTTGTAATGTATATATGCTGCATGAACTATTAGCTGAGCTCTGTGAGTACACACAACTCAGAGGTTCCTTCTAGAGTTTGTTATCATTAATTATTTTAGTTTAATTTTAATAGATTTTTCTTTTAATACAAATAAATATACTAACTATATATACACACATAAATATACTCACCTAGTACATTTAAGTGAGTATATATATATATATATATATATATATATATATATATATATATATATATATATATATATATATATATATATATATATATATATATATATATATATATATATATATATATATATATATATAAATGTATATATATAAATATATATATATATATATATATATATATATATATATATATATATATATATATATATATATATATATATATATATATATATGTTTTGTGGATATACCATCAAGGTGTTTAATGAACAGAGCTATAATATAGAAAATAATAAAACTATGTGTTGCAATCATCAGGTGAAATACTTTTCATTTTTATTTCATCTGATGATTGCATCAGCATGAAACTCAATGTTGTAATGTTGTAAAATTTGAATGAAATTCGTTTTATTTTCTACTATATATATATATATATATATATATATATATATATATATATATATATATATATATATATATATATATATATATATATATATATATATATATATTTATATATATATATATATATATATATATTTATATATATAAATGTTTGTATGTATATTATATATATGCATATATAACTCCTAAGTCGTAACCTTTAAGTGTCCGAGGAAATACTGGAAGTTCAATTTTTTAAAGGTTTGAGTTATCAGGAGTTTACTGTGTATATATCGATGATATAGTGCACAAATGTGGTAAGTGCAAGATTAAAACTGTAGAAACTGTCATTTGTGCGCGTAATTATAATAAGAAGAGTTTTTGTATTTACCACATATTGTCAATTATTTGACTCTTTATCGTTTATCCTACACATACCATATTTATTCACAATAAACTATAAATAAAAACAGGTTTTTCTGCGTACTTATCTCAATTTGACCAAAATTTGTACTTGCCATATCTGTGCACTAAAATGGTATACTAAAAACAAATGTTTTCATTGATTTTTGAATAAGACAAATTTAATCAACTGCTTCCTAAACTTTTTTCCAGTCAATTTGTTAGTTACTTCTTTGCATTGGTGATGAAAGTGTATTTTTCAGTAATTTTTTGAAATAACTTTAATTAGTGAGAATAAATGCTTATCAGTTAAAGACGAATCTAGCATATGATGAGTTAGTTCTGTGAATACTTTTGATATATCAACTGATCTCAAAACAACACTTGCATTTGCATTTTTAATTCCTATATCATTAGGGAGGGTAATATTTGTTGATGTAAGAAACCTTTGGAAACATCTTTCTGTTCCTTCGCATACCAAAACAACACTTTTGCTTGGTTTAACTAAACCTCCTCTAGATAATTTATTCTCAATAAAATGTAACATACATATGTTACATCTTTACATACTATGTATGTGTTAAACTGTCAATAATTATCCTTCAAACTTTGAGGTATAATTATTCACAGTTGAGTTTGACAAGAGTTAGACTTTAAATCTAAGTCATTGAGAGATAATTTTTTACTTTGGAATATAAATATTGTTTTATATTTTCACTGAATAATAAAATGACTTTTATAATCCTAGAAGGAACCTCTGAGTTGTGTGTACTCACAGTTCTCAGCTAATAGTTCATACAGCATTGGTACAATAATGTTTCTACCTACAAAACTCACGATTTTAAAATTCTTTAAAGATTGTAGGTAGACGTTGCTGCTTACCAAACAGTTGTGTTATTAACCTTTTAGCACACAGCATTGGGTAATTAAGAACTAAAAGGTACATAAATTATAAACCTTATTTAAAAAGTGTATACTAGCTGAATATTTTAATAATTAGGAATCAAATAAATTTATTTCGCCATCTTATTTTCCTTAAAAATAGTTTATTTTTCTTATTCGGTCAGAATTTTTATACGATTCAAACCGCCAACAGTTTTAACCGACGCCATCTTGGTAGGCCAAAATTGGCTTCAACTTTTTTTTACGAAAAACAATAGAATACGCTATCCAGTTATTATTTTGAGATCAGTGGTCAAACCCCTACTCCGACGTTGAGCGTCCTTTGCGTCCGCAAACTCGTGTTTCTAGGAAAAGGGCAAAACGGGGTATATAGGGATTTGCCCAGCGGTGCGCACATACACCAACTAAGTTTTAGAGAGAACATGCAGCGGAGTGTGTAAACAACGACTGAGGGTTTGGGGTGGGTAGGTTCTCTTTTAATAGAAGAAGTCGTTTTTTTACATTTTTGGACCTTAAGGACAGCGTCGGAATAAGGGTTTGACAAGAGAGCCTACCATATCTTGCATAACAAAAGTTAAATTTCGAAAACCGTGTATTGGCAACCTGCTGCTTGTATGCAGGTTGCCGATCCTGGTATAAACATTTGATGTTAAAGTTTCAATGTTATAATACGACTCTCCAACTCCATGTACATATATTTTTATAATATTGAAAACAAGATGGTAGTAGCTCTTTAAAAACTGGAAAATTTTTATAAAATATAAACTTTGGGTCTTCCGTCTTAAAAGAATGCTAACCCCTTGTTTATACAAATTATCAAATGCGTTATTTTGTTATTGAAAAATTGATTACCAAACTTTGATTTTTGTAACAAAATACTGATGAAGAATCCCACTAAATATTCTAACATTTATATTCGCACAAGATCTTGAAGAGCAATTCCCCGACACTTGTATCGTATTGAGTATCTTTCTAATAGTTCCATTTACTGTCTGTCAAGGAAAAAGATCTTTTTTCAAACTAAAGTTTATCAAAAACTATTTATGATCTAACATCAGTCAAGAAAAACTGAACGGACTTTAGATTATTTCTATTTATAGGTATTTTAGAAAGGAGGCATGAACTTTATCGTTAAATACTTTCCGCGGTGCTCTGTGACAAAAACCGTTAGGTCTTCTTACTCATTATTATTATTGTTATTATTAATAATAATAATAATAATATATTATTATTATTATTATTATTATTATTATTATTATATATATATATATATATATATATATATATATATATATATATATATATATATATATATATATATATATATATATATATATATATATATATGTATATATATATATATATATATATATATATATATATATATATATATATATATATATATATATATATATATATATATATATATATATATATATATATATATATATATATATATATATATATATATATAGTTTTATTTACCAAACGCTGAATTCATTTTTCTAACCTAATTATAAATAATTAATACAAAAGATAATATACCGATTATAATCGGTATATTATCTTGTTATTACCACTCGATATATTTATTTTCTTTTCGATCTTATTTAAAAAATATTGAATCTATCGATTTTATTTTTTAAAATTTTTTAAAAGTTACGGAAAAATTTGTGTCATTATTGCCAATAATTTATCGGAACAAAATACGTTCCGTTAAGTTATCACGATTCAACTATCCGATTTTAACATTCCAAAGCTCATAACAATTTTATTTATTATTAGTCAAAATAATGTTATGTATGCACGTGGAAAGTTCATTTAGAACAAAGTATTTCTTCTGAAATTTTAAAGAAAGAAAATATATTTATGACACATGGTAGAATATCTTTATTAGTTAAATAGAAAAGTTTCTTTTATTTCTTTTGTATTAAATATTTATAATTAGGTTAGAAAAATGAATTCAGCGTTTGGTAAATAAAACTGTTGCTATACGGAATAAAATATATTTTGAGTGCACAATAACTATGTAACATTCTTTTATATGGATAATGTATTCATGTTGGAGAATATCTTCTAGATACCAAAAAAAATTAATTTTTTCAATCTAAATTACTTCCTTAAATTATAGACAGTTACAGGTAATAAAAATGTACTTTTTAGGTTTTAATATAAATTTTCATATATATTCTTTTAAATTTTTTATTTATTTGAAAATATTTTCTATTACATAAGATGAGATATTTTTTTGATTAAATCTTGCATATAAAAAATAAAATAACTTTGAGTGTAAATAGGACAACAGTTTTAATCTTGAGTTTAAGAAAAAAGTGTGTAAGAATCAAAGAAATCTTACACTTACAAACAAATCACTTTATTAAAAATTTTATTCTCAAAAATGAAAAAAATGATAATAGTAGAAAGGTGAGACATTTAAATTTTGATAAAACCTACTTTAATTGTTATGTTTTAATCAAAACATTATGTTTCCAGAGAGTATCATTATAAGTAAACAGCTGAGGTTAGTCATTCATATGTTAATTCAATTTAGGTATTTTGAAATATTGAATAAGTTGAACTCAGTTTTGATACAAATTTTAATTCCTATTATGATTTTGAGTCAAATGAATATTTCCTAAAAAATTTCAATTTCATAGTACAGTAAAAGCAAAAGTTCTGAAAATTTTCTGTGGTTGGTATATTATTTTTATTACTACAATAATAAAACTGGTGATCTCTAATTTCCTCTCATTAAAAAAAAAGGTATACATTAGAAATGTTAACAAAGAATAAATTAATTTTGAAGCAGAATCACCACAGAGCAGAAAAACTCAAATTTTAGTTACTAAATAAATTAACTTTATTTCCCCAGAATACATAAGTTTCGATGTTATATATATTTTTAAATAGTGTTTTAAACATTAATTAGGTTTTCCAGAAAGTTACAGGTTTGCACTATGTATTATTGAGTCACAACAATCGTTTAAATGCAGTTCATAAATGATCACGCTTTTGAGTATTTTAAGTGAAATATCAAGCTTCTACGACTTATATTTAATATATTTTCAATGAGAAATGCCAGCTATCAATTATTTTTAGCTAAAGTATAGCGTTTTAAAAATTGTTGTAAAAAAAGCAACACCTTTTTAAATTTTTGTATGTTGGCTTTTAGAAATAGTTTTGGTGTTTGTTTTGATCCTAGCCACAAATGCTTCCTCTGATAATACTTAAACAAGCCAAATAAATGTGCAGTATAAAGACAAGACGTTAATAAAGTTGATCATTTTCTGATTTAGCTGATTAGCAATCAGCTCCTGTGTTATCTTAATACCAAACATGGAGGTCTTTCCCATTACATGAAAATTTTATTCTATTGTACATGAATGCAAGTTTGTTTGCTAAGCAGCACATAGTTAATCTCAAATCACTTTTCAATAATTGCTTTAAATGCCTTTATTCCGAGTCCATTGGTCTCCTGGACCTGAATTGATCTTTTGATGTGAAGGTACCAACAAAACAAGATGTTACAAAAGCATTGAGACTAAGGCTTTTATTTAAACATAGAAAAGTTATGAAAAAATATATTTATGTGTGTGTATATATGTATGTATGTATGTATGTATGTATGTATGTATGTATGTATGTATGTATGTATGTATGTATGTATGTATGTATGTATACAACCCTCGAAATTAGGAAAAAATGAGGTTGGCAATAATTTACCAACCTCAATCTTTTTTAGGTCAGCATCAGGTCAGCAAAAGTTATTTGATACAAAAGTCTGACCATAAAACATAAAAACAAGGTCGGCATTTTTTTTTTTCGACCTCCAACAATTTCAGATTGGCATTTAGGTCGGCTTTGCCGAATGCTGACTCTAACTCCAAGGGTTGATGTATATATTTATACTAATAATTGAAAATATATTTTTCAAAATAGAGTGCTCAATGTTCTTAAAAGAACAGAGCAATAAATCAGTAAATTTTAAATAGTTTTTTAAATAATATATAACCATATTAAAAATATATATATATATATATATGTATATATACATATATATATATATATATATATATATATATATATATATATATATATATATATATATATATATTTATATATATATATATATATTTATATATATATATATATATACATATAAATATAATCTTCTAGATTCCCACATGACAACAAACAATCTTCATATAGAATATCAATATGGATACAAAAAAACATCATTCCACTGAAACACTTTTGCTGAAGCTTACCAATGATATACTTGAACTCTTTGATAAGAATACACCTTCAGTACTAATGATACTTAATCTAAGTGCTGCTTTTAACACTATTGAGCAACAAAATCTACTTGGGCTATTAACTAGTGAAATAGGCATAATGGTCTCAGCTCACAAGTGGTTTGAATCATTTTTAGTTAACCGTACCCAAAATCTTAAAATAGGTAACTCATACTCTACAAACTAAAATGTCAAATATGGAGCACCGCAAGGTACAGTACTGGGTCCAAAACTATTTAATATCCATATGAGACCACTGTATAAATATCTGAACATAATCGATGTTAAAACTTTTGGATACTCAGATGATCATCAAACTCTCAAAGCATTCCTTGCTTCATTGCAATATAATGCATTAGTTCTGGATATACCAGAATGTCTTGGATACATATCTAAATGGATGAGCGAATCATTCTTATGCATTAACCAATCGAAAACAAAAATATTAATTATGGCACCACCTAACATTCAAAAAAATTATTATTAAAGGTACTTTTGTTAACAAGGAATGCATTAGATTTGTTGACTCCACAAAAAGTTTAGGTGTGATTCTTGAAAATAAACTGTCTATGAAAACACGATAAATAAGATTGTGAAAAGTTGTTACAATATAATCAGCAAAATATCCAAAATAAAATAATTCTTAAAGATTTGTGCACCATAGTATGATCATAGAAAATCAAATAAATGACCAGGTATTCATCAATTTGCATTGGTTTAAAATTAGAGAAAAAATTTATTTAAAGGTTTTATTAATAATGCACAATTCTATTATCCAGGAAGCACCAGCATCATTATGTAATTTGATTCACAACGTCAGAGAGAACTCTGAAATTAAAAGAAACAAAATCTAGCAATCGTTTTGGTGATCGCGCGGTATCCCACTATGGTCCTAGACTGTGGAATATTCTTCCAAGTATCATTTGACATGAAAAAAACACAACTATTTATAAGAAAAAACTAAAATCATATTTAATGGTAAATAGCGAGCTATTCCACCAGAAAACTCTAGAGTTTTTAAAATTATAAAGTAATATAATAATTTATTGCACAGCTGAGCAAGTATTTTGCCAGCTTACCCTTTATTTGGGCAAAACACAGTAGCTGTTTGTAAACCCATAAATTTATATATATATATATATATATATATATATATATATGTGTGTGTATATATATATATATATATATATATATATATATATATATATATATATATATATATATATATATATATATATATATATATATATATATATATATATATATATATATATTGCCAAAGCATTTGATTTTCAAAGATTTCATTTGATTTTCGCATTCTCAAAGAGTTTGACTTTAAACATGTTTACGGTCATTTTCTGTGGAACTATCAAATAGCAAAGGCTTTTTTAAACTTGTATTCTATTTTTAGTATTTTTAAATGCACACTCAAATATTTAAATATTTTCCTTTCTTGTTTTTACGTGGACCTCATTTGGAGCATTGCTCAGCAGCTAGAGACCCTTTTTATTTGAAATAATAAACACTCTTGAAGCTGTTTAAAATCAAACCTCTGGTATCTGTACCTAATCACTTGCAAATTGATGCCACTAAAGTGATCTTTTCTAATATTACAGTATTTACTTCAACATAAATAAAGTCGGGTTGAGTTACAATCAAACCTTAACTCATATAACAACTTATAATAAAGCAACTTTCAATAAAGCAACTTATTCAAATTCTACTTAAAATAAAAATAATTTTGGCAAAAAATAATTTGTGATTTTTTTAACAGCTTGCAGTTGGGCTTTCAGTGACTGGTAAATTTTAACCCAAGCCAAATTCAGTTGCTTACTGCAAACGATTATTGGAATAAAATTTAATTTTCTATATTATTAATAATAAATCTTATTTAGTATTTTCTTTTCAACTTCTATAAGCTTTTATTAACCCATATCGATCCATTGTTTTGCAAACATATATTTTTTCCTGTGTTCATATACGTGGATTCTAATAGAAATTTAATTTAACTTTAATATTTAATATTTTAATTTTAATATTGAAAAAAATTTGCAAAATAAAGAATTAGTCCTACATAGGTTAAATTTTTTTTTTTTATTTGAATAAAAAATGAAAACAAATTTGAAAAATAGTTTTAGTCTCTTTATTACTGATAACTAAATAGTTTTATATTCTCTATTATAATTATAGATAACTTATAAAGGCTGTCTGTAATAATAATAGTGATGATGGAAGTAATTATAATTACTAATAAATATTAACAATAATAATAAAAACAAAAAATATTCATTAATATTGTATAAATATTGAAATAAATTTAATTAATATATATATATATATATATATATATATATATATATATATATATATATATATATATATATATATATATATATATATATATATATATATATATATATGTATATGTATATATATATATATATATATATATATATATATATATATATATATATATATATATATGTATATATATATATATATATATATATATATATATATATATATATATATATATATATTGTAATATTTAAAATATATTTTTAGTTACCAAGTCAAGTAGAAATGAGAACAAAGTTTGAGTTTGATTCAAATAGTTCAGATGAAGAAGATAAAAAAATTTTTGATAAAAATGTAAATTATTAATATTTTTATACAAGTTTAATAGCTGTTTATTTTTTCTTTAATAACTATTCCGAATTATTTATTTTTATATTCATTTTATAAATATTTTTTGAAGCACTAAAAAGCTTCAATCAAATTGATGTTATGTTACTATAACAACTATACTAACTGATTTTGATTAATTTGCTTTGATTGTTTTATGTTGTTAAATTTTGACTTATAGGTATAATTTATTTTATTGTTGTTTAAAACCTTTTTGTTATTTTTATTTTATTTCTTTTGTGTGTTAGATTTAAGATAACTTTGCAATTAAATTATTTTTAAAATTGAATAAAAAAATGTATTAATGAATTTTTCATGATAATGAAGTTAAATAAAAACATTGAAGTTTAATAAGAAATTCTTTAACAATATTTTTAAAAAAATGATTCAAATAATGAAAATAAAAATGATACAAAAAATAGTATTTATGAACTCTCCTTAAATAGTATTTAGTTTTTCGTTGCTGTACTTTTATAAAAAGCTCAAACTTTAGGTTTGAGCTTTATATATAAATAAAATACTACTTACAAAAACATTTTTAAATTGTTATGTAATAACTTTGATATTTGTATTTGTTATCAGTTTATTTTTTATGTGCTGTACTACGTTTTTGATATTTGAATAATTTTACTCAATTTACACAATTATTTAAAATAAAAAAAACAATTATTTTTCAATTTATTTTATAATTATTCGTGTTAAAACTAGTATTATGATTTTACAAAATAAAAAAATTATTTAAAAATAATATTGTTATATACTTTTATAATATTGTTTATACTTTTTTTTTACTTTTAATGTCACATAAGCATCTTTTTTAAATAACACTTTCAAGTTTCAAATTTGTTAAGAAGCATTTTTAACAAGTTTTTACATAAATTTTTTTGTGCCAGCTTTATTTGATCCGAATAATTTGAAGTTGTTAAAGGACACAAATATACAAGTGATGTCGTCACTTGCGTATTCGTTATACACTAACATTACTTGAATTATTCAATACAAAATATTGAGAGTGGTTAATCTATTTGTACAGAATATCAAAAATGGTTAGCCTAAAAATGTTTAACCTGTAAAATGAAAACCATGAAATTTTCATGTAAAAAAGAAAACCATGGGGACAGTGAGGCTTGGCTTGAATCCAACAAAAAAGAATAAAAGCTTCAATGCCTGCCATAATGGAGGAAATTATAAAGGAGTAGCAATTTTTAGCATGGAGACAATCCATCAGCCTAAGGGCAATTACAACAGTCAGTCAAACCCAGTCAGTCCTTAGATAATAATAATAAGAAGTCAGATCATAGTAGTAGTAACAAGTGAAACCACTTCTTAACAGTTCTAAGGTAGTAAAAATAAGTGCAATGAACTGAAGTCTGTTCATAGGTAGTAAAAACAAGTGCAATGAAAGAATCTGATGTAAAAGAAGTGTGAAATAAAATTTTTAATAAAATTGTAGCTTTGGACAACCTAAAAAATAACAAGCAGAAACTTAAAACTAGCTAAAGTCAAAACAAGACAAATCAAGAAATGAAGTTAAGATATAATAAACTATCTGAGTTTATGATATGACTTAAGACTGAGAAAGACAAATATTTTGACCTTTAAAGCCATCAAGCCAAACAAGATGGAGAACAATAAAGAACTAAAAAAATGGTGGTTGAGTAAAGAGGTTCTAAACAAATATATCTAAAAGAAGATTCAGAGGATTCAATCCTGATTCCATAGCAAATAGATAAGTACTTAAGTAAGGCCAAGGCCATGAATGTAACTATTAAAATCTTGGCTATATTAAAAGAATAATATCCTTTATTACAAATATTTAAAGTTGAAGCTGCCAAATTTAAATGTCTCACAAAGAGCAAGTCTTTTTGAAAAATTTTGAAAAAGGTATAAAATAACATTTGACAATTTATTTCAAAGACAACAAATATTTGTTAAAGGTTAATATTGGAAAAAATGATTTTATATTTTTTGGTATATTATGTTTTTAACTAATATAGAACTTGATTCAATTATAAATACTCATAAGTCAAGAAAATCCAGATTATATAAGAATGTAGATGGACGCAGTTAGATCTACCTATGATATGTTTTTGTTTGTTTTTTTTTTTTTTTTTTGAGACACTATTTCTAATTTTTATTACTTAAAATACAATTAAATTTATATTTAACCAAGTGCCCTTGGTTAAATATAAATTAAATTGCATTTTAAGTCAGAGTTAAATTCTTTTAGTTTTTGATAAATTAAATTGAATTACAATACCAGTAGCAGGGTGGTCATGAGGACCCTGAACTGAACTGAACTCTCCTGACATAAACTTTATATGCCTATAGGCCTATTTATATATATATATATATATATATATATATATATATATATATATATATATATATATATATATATATATATATATATGTATATATATATATGTATATATATATATATATATATATATATATATATATATATGTATATATATATATATATATATATATATATATATATATATATAAATAGGCCTATAAGTTTATATATATATAAACTTATAGGCCTATTTATATATATATAAATAGGCCTCGGCAGGAACCGCCTCCACTCTCGTTTAAGTCAGTTTACTTAAGGAAATAAAGCCTGCGCAAAATACAAATATTTATACACAGTAAAACTTATGTTTTTAGGTTGAAAACATCTAACACATTTAAAATAAAGTATTGCTCTAATCAAAACGAAATTAATATATGTACTCATAGACTTAATCTAAGAGAAAATATAAGATACACCCATTTAATTACTTAAATAAAATCTTCTTTTATAAGCAGTAGTTTGTTTGTTTAAATTTGAACTATGTAACACGTCTATATAACACATGTCTTTTCCTTCATATCTCTGTCTCATACTTGGAGTCATATTTCAATGTAATTTTTAAACTTTTCAAATTAGAAAAAAGTTTCACTAAGAAAAAAAGTAACTAAAGAATTTTTTTATATGTGAAAAAAATAAAAATAATAAAATAATATTTTTTAAATAATCAATCGTTTTAATAAAAAAACCAACTAAATATATACTAAAATAGAGTTAAAAAACTTGCTCAAATGAAATGTTTTTTCAACAATTTTTCTCGAAAACATTAATTTTTTAAATAAATATCAGAAAAATAATTGTTGCTGATGATTGTTTCTCTAATATATATGATACAATACAAAACATGTCTCTAGCAAAGCTATTACTAAAACATAATCAATCATGATAATCATTTTATTTTCTCCATAATCTACTTTATCTAAATATTAAAAAAATCGTGAAAATGCTGATTCGCTCAGAAAGCTTGTGTTGCCTATTAAGTTTATTTAGGCAGGCATTTTACTGCTTGTTCACTCATTTACTCTTGCTGAAGTAATTTGTATTGAAAATACTACTTTTCAAAAACAATACTTTTAAATATTGATAATGATTGGTTAATGGAAAAATAAGGAAAAGTATCAGTTTTTCTACCTTCCTTAGAGTACCACAAACCAAATTTGTTACACTTTTTTTGTATTTTTATAAATAATAATAAAGTTAAAATTTATTTACATTGTGTTTGTGCATTTTTTCACAAATACACACATCTGTTTGTTTATGTTTCTATTAGTATTTATTATTATTATTTTTCATTAGAATTTAATACTGGTTGTGTTTGGTAAAGAATTATTATATAACCAAAAAATAATTGAAATTTTACATTTAGAATGACAATACTTTCCAGGAACATGGTGTTTCTTTAGTATATGAAAATAATTCTGAACCATTTCCTTTGTTTAATAAAGAAACAATAGAAGAAGAAAAAAAAGAAGAGTGTTTTGAAAAAGAAAATACTGAATCAGCAACATGTTTTATGATGGATGTAAAAAACAGTTCTATTCAGGATACAGAACATTTAGATACAAGGTTTGAAAATAGTATTCATATTGACACACTTAGTGACAGAATGGTAAATGATACTGTTCAAACTATTGTTTCAAATCCTAATGATTTTCCATTGAATTATCATTCATCAAACAATAAAAAGCTTTCAAATTTAAATGTATATTCTGAAAATACTACTGAAACTAATATTGTAGAAAACTTAGGAAATTCGATGGAGGATATTGATAGACGAAATTCATTTAAAAAGGAATCATCTGACACTGACAGAGTTGTAACAGAAAATGATTTTCCAATTTTTTCTCATTCTGGCACTGAAAACAAGAAAAAGAAGAAGAAGAAAAAAGATGAATTAAAAATTAAATTGAAAGACTTAGCTACACGATTATCTGTTGAACAGAAAATGAGTGAGGTATATTTTACTTTTGCTTGATTTTTGGAAAATTATTCATTTTAAGTGCTTTCATTGTTATCCTATCATAAGTGACAACACTTTTTAAGGTTTTAAATGATATTTTTTGTTGTAATCAATCAATAGAACAAGTGATAATAAATTTTGCAATAACTTAATCATTTTAAAGCATTTACGAAATCAAATTCAAAAAGAAATCAATGAACAAGAAAAACTTACACACAAATGTGAAAACCTTCAAAAGGAGATAACTTTGTTGCACAAAGATTACACTGATCAACAACAGCAATATGCTGAGTGTTTGCGCACAATGAAAGAAGTCCAAGATGCTGTAAATTTAAAAATAGTTTATTTTCTGTTAAATATTTTCAATTTAAAAATAATTTTTTTTTTCATAGTTATTTAATGTTTTTTTAGTATGCTGAAAAGACTGTTGCTGTTGAGAACTACAAACAAGAGGTTATTGAGCTTCAACTTCAACTTCAAGCTTCTGAAGGAAATCAACGTAATTTTTTGTTGTTGTTCTTATTGTTGATTTTTTTGGATGACCTGTAAAATATTTAAGTTAAATTAGGCTATTGCTTGTTTTTTAATATTGGGAGTATATATTGAAAATGAGCCTTTTTCGAGCAGCTGTTTGCAGGTAAAAAATCGTCTTGTCTTCAGTAATTTAAAAGCAGGGAAATTAGGTATTAGTTTCAACTCATACGGGACCTAATTTCCCTGCTTTTGTATTCCAGTTGTTTCAAGCACCTAGAAACTGTTAATTGAGTGACTCTTAATGTTTTTGCAAGCTCTTCCTATATGTAGCATGGAACTTCATCAAGTCATGCCTCTGATGTGTGTGTATATATATATATATATATATATATGTATATATGTATATATATATTCATATACAAATATATTTATGTATAAATATATATATATATATATATATATATATATATATATATATATATATATATATATATATATATATATATATATATATATATATACACACACATATAATTTTTATAATATTCAAACAATAAATGTTTTTATTGTAGGTTTGATTGAAAGTCTTCGTCAGGATGCTTTGGATTCTCATCTGCTTTTGGAAAAATTAAAACAAGCTCATAAAAAAGATGTAGAACGAATAGAAGAAGAATATTCAAAACAAAAAGTTTCACTTCAAAACGAAATGGATGAATTTAAAATAAGCAAGCAAGAAAAAAATAATGAGATAATGAAGCTTCAAAGTACTATTTACCTTCTAAAAGACGAAGTTCGGGAAGCAAACGAATTAACAGAAAAAATAAAGTAATTCAGACATGTCTCTTTGTTAGTTTGTTTATCATAAGATTTTTTGTTTTAATATTTAGTCTGTCAGAAGTTTGTTGTTTTGTTTCTCTTTGTAACCAGAGGGTTTAGAGGTATAAATCTGAGAACAACTTTTTCTCTCTCTGTTTTGGATTAGAATGAAAAAAGTTGTTAATAATTGTATGAAGATTTTTTTATTTAGGAGCAAATTAGAGCAAAAGTGTTTAAAAGTCAAAAAATTGAAATCAGAAGTTTCCATTTTAAACAATGAAATATCTGTAAGGTTTTACTTTTTTTTACAACTATTATTATTATTGTTATTGTTTTATTATCACTCATTTATTATATTCATCATTATTATTACCCAATATTTTTATTATTATCATTATTATTATTATATATTACAAAATATTTTTGCGTTAAAGTTATTTTTAAATTATATATTAAAAAAGTAAAACCATTTTGTCAAATCAGTATTTCTACTTAACCAGCAAATATTTTTTTTTATATTTAAACAGCAAATTTTTAATATTTAATTGAACCAATTATCTTTAGTTTGAAGAATTTACAGTAAAATGTGTTTATGTCTATAATTGCAGTTGAATATTTTTAACTTTTTGAGTTTGAAAAATGGAAGTTTTTCTTTTAAAGTTATTTAAAAGAAATGCTTCCATAATTCATTTTTTTGTAAAATATGTTTGTAAAATAATAATGTCACTCAATTTTTTATAAAATATAAATGCGTTTTTAAAAAAATATAATATATTTTGTAAATTATTCTATTTTTATTATAAGAATATATGACAAAAATTAGATTACTGAAAGCTAGTAAAAGGTGTACACAATATTCACGCTATATACGTTATGCAAATTGGATGTATAATGATAACAACCATTTAATGAGTATTTTACATTAACCTAATTTACTTTATTTATATATTTTTTTATATTTTTTGCCTAACTAGAAAATGTTAACTAGAAGTAAAATCTCTGTGCAAATGTCTTTTCAGATTTCTATATACTGCTTTCTAAAATTATAATTTAATATACATGTAATTTAATTGATTAGTTAACTATACTTTTTAACTAATCTGAATAAATTATGAAAATTTTTTGTTAATTTAAATGCTGATAATTGGTGTTTTCCTATTACAGAATATGATTCATATAAAAGTATTTTGTTAATATTTTAAACAAAATATTGCAAAGTGCTGTTGGTTAGTACCAACAGCACTTTACAATAATCAATTTTTTTTCTGCTGTTTGCAATATAGAGTCTGGACACTAAGCTCAGTGTAGTGATGCTAGTGTTTTGCTTTCACTTTTAGTGTTTGTTCACTGAACTGAACAAATACAAATATTTCAGACAGTAACATAACGAAACAATTATCCACTAAGCTCACTTTAAGTATGGCACAGTTGTTGGTGACTCGATCTAATGTAACGTTTTATCATTTAAAAATGAAAACAAGAAAAAACGGAACTTTGAAAACCAAATAACTTATTTTAATAGTATTTTTTTACTGCTAATAATCTGTTTAGTAATTATTTTATTAAAGTTATTTAAATTATAATTACTGTTTTTATTTACTGCTACCAAGTTATTTTTATTTAAAGTTTATGTTTTAAATTGTCGTTTTTTTCTTAAATTATTTTTTATTGTTGAATTTTTAGCCCAATCTGTAATTTGTTTTTAAGTAATTTTTATGACATTACTTATATCATTAAATGAACTTGTTGATATTTGTTCATGCTTGTGTAAGTATAATTAGTTGCAACCTTGTATGCTGTTTATGGTGTAACTTTGAGTGTTGTATATTTGTTGTATACAGGGCTGTGGAGTTGGAGTCGGATTCATGGAGTCGTGACATTTTTAGCAGAGTTGGAGTTGCTAAACAAAATTATGACTCCGACTCCTATAGTAAAACTTCTCAGTATTGAATGTGCATGTACAAAATATTTGATTAACCTTATATTCATATTAAACCATCAAAGAACTTTTCATAAATTTGGAAAAAAAAAAAAATTTTAATTATCGCATAATATTTTTTAAAAAATTCAAAGAATTTCTCAAAAATTTTGCTTTTGAGTTGGAGACATACTCTGAAAATTTCAACAATTGGAGTCGGTGTCAGTACTTATTTTTTATGACTCCACACCCCTGGTTGTATATATAGTTATAATTATGTTAATTTATACAATAGTTATTTATTTTGTAACTATAGATGAATAATTATAGTGAATATAAAACTAAAAAAATAATTTTTTTTTTTCAATGTAGGGACTTCATAGTTCTCTGGCTGATAAAGGTGAACTGATTGCTGATCTTAGAAACCAGCTTTTAAAAGAAGCAGAGTTTTTAACATTAGAACATGATTTACGAGTCAAACGTGAAAGTGTATTTAATTTTTTTAATTATCTCTAACATTTCTTAAATTATTTAAAAAGTGTTTAGTATATGGAACAGGTTTAAATTATGAATACAATAATATTTAAAAAAAGGTTAAATAAGCTACAGCAACAATATACAGACATACACAAAAGGTCTGTATATTATTTTTATATACAGACATATATACATACATTAGTATATACAATTACATATATACACATTAATGTATGCAATTCATGCATAAATATATATATATATATATATATATATATATATATATATATATATATATATATATATATATATATATATATATATATATATATATATATATATATATAAATATGCAGTAAACAGTCAGTTTTGAGTTAAAATAGTATAAAATATTTGCAGGAATTAGAGCAGTTGCCAATTTTGTTACAAGAAAGTCAGAAATATCAAGATGAAATTGATCAATGGAAGCATCAATATGAAATGAAAAATTTAAAAGTAAAATTTCTTAAAAAGCAAATCAAAGAACTATGTGAACAAAAAGAGGTAAAAAAAAAATTATTCTATTTTGTTTAAAAATTTCTAGTTTTTTTTTTTTTATTTTTTTATTTTATGATGTTCAATAATTTTTAGAAAACAGAATCCATTTTATTTATACTCCCAGAAATGCAAAAAAAGATTTCAGCACTAGATGAAGAAAAGCAGAAACTGGAAAAGAGTATTGAGGATCAAATATACAAGGAAAAAGAGCAAAAAGCTCAAATTGAGTTTGAGAAACAGGAAAAAGAAGAGCTACTAAAAAAGAAGAAAGAAGAATGGGAAAACAAGACCCTTGGAATCGGTATTTGTACTCATGAACAAAATATTGTTGAAAACATTCCAATAAATAAGAGTTTAATCAGGTAATATTTTGTTGAAGTTATATTTTTACAATGACAATTATGGCTTACGTTTTCATTGGGTTTAATTTAGTGATTGCAAATTGAGATGATATAAGAGGAATTTGCAATCTCATTGTATTAAACCAAAGTTTTTATGGTGATCACATTTTTTATACTTTTCCAGTGCTATCCAAATATTAATAGAATGCTTTTTTTTATTTTATTTTAAATTTTCTCAAGTTCTTAAAAAAAAAATTACTATTAAGTTTACCATTAAAGTTTTCTTGTCATTAAATTTTGCTAGAGATTTTTAGTTCTATAAAACACTCTCTTGTGTTAAAATTTAAATATAGATAAAAATGTAGGTTTTTAAAAAATTTTCAAGTTATGATAATAAACTGTTTCTTTTTTAAAAAACTTTTAAAAAAATAATTATTTTATAAAAGTTATAAATAAAAATATATATAAAAATAATATTCTTGTTATTATAAGGCATTAATATATTTTAAGTGTGGTTTATTTTAGTAGAATTATCTAATGTTAAATGTAGTGATAAAATATATATGAAATGTCATAATCCTAGAAATAGAAAATAATGAAGGCTAATATCTTCCATGCTATGATATATAACATATCTTCCGTGCTATGATTCTAATAGCCATTTGAAACTCTTGATCTAACAATAATAGATTTCATTTTATTAAGATAGGTTTTGTGTGAACTTTGTTGGTACCAATAATCCATAGAGCTTTCTTTAGTAGAAATTTAAGTTGCGTAATTTTTTTTTGATTTACTGTTTCCCAAGTTTCAAATAAGTAAAAATAAAAAAAGTGTGTAATGAAACTTTAGTAATTATTACAAATTTTTGAAAGTTTTGGAGGTTTGGCTTTCCAGTAGTAAGGTTTTTGCATTATTCTCTCACATGATGTAGACTTGGTGTGATGATAGCATAAGGTAGCATAAGAAACATTCCTGGCCTAAAAAAAATGTGGTCCAAACTGTTACTGATATACTAGATTAAAAATTAAAACCAAAATCCACTCATTGAAGTTAAGAAAACAAACAACCTGAATTTCTTTATATATTCAAAGTATATAAGTTCATAATGTGTCTCTGTTGGATGTGTATATAAATAATATGTTAATAAAAATGTTGATAAAAGTCAAAGTTGAAAAGCTATTATTTATACAATAGCACATATAGATATAGATTTAGAAATTTTTTTTGGCAACCTAAATCTTTACATCTTGCGTGTTCTTTCCGTTTATTCAGTTGATGTACGTAGTGAAGCTTCTGCCAGTTCACTATGTCATATAATGTCAGAATGCAAATCAAACTATACATATATATATATATATATATATATATATATATATATATATATATATATATATATATATATATATATATATATGTATATATATATATATATATATATATATATATATATATATATATGTATATATATATATATATATATATATATATATATATATATATATATATATATATATATATATATGTATATATATATATATATATATATATATATATATATATATATATGTATATATATATATATATATGTATATATATATATATATATATATATATATATATATATATATATATATATATATATATATATATATATATATATATGTATATATATATATATATATATATATATATATATATATATATATATATATATATATATATATATATATATATATATATGTATGTATATATTGTTTAACCCTTTATTTTAAATTTTTACTGCAACACTAATAAATGGGTGGTTCTCTTATAGTACATAATATTTTATGGCTAGTTAATTTTTTTTAATTTTTACTTAAATAAGTTGAAAGTATTATTTTAAAATAAAGGCCTTACAAATTAAATACTATAAATGGTCATTGTATCTTATTTGTTTTATTACTTAATTATAGACCTGTTAGTGCACCACTTTTAAAACCCAAACCTCCCTCATCAACTTCATCCAAACAATGGTCCAAAAATGGATACAGAAAATCGAAAAATATTTTAAATGGAAATCATTCTCTTGAAGTAAGTACAATGTATTAAATAAATTTTTTATTTCAATGAATACAAATGATTATAATATGATTATAATTAAATATTTTCATGACTTATAACTCACCAATTTATCAGATTTTATGGTGAGTCTTAGCTGATAAGATTTTATGGTGCCACTATATTTGAATAATGACTTTAAGAAAAAAAATTTGAAAAAAATAGTTTTTACCTATGCGGGATTGCATTTTTCGGAAAAGAAATTTTAAACATTGGCACACCATACATTTAAAATGGATCTTATTTTGCCCTATCGGAATCCCTACATTAAAATTTTTTTATTAGACTCAGATGAAGAAATGTTATTAAAATTCACAGTTGAGACAATTAAAGATATAAGGATTATATAAATTTGAAACATTTATGAAATACCTCGTTTCAAGTGCAAAATTTCAGGTCTTACAGAGAGAAAGAAAAGTCTAAGACATTTAATCACCTTAAAACCAAAATAAAATGTCTTATAGACATTTTATTTTTTATCAATTTCACAAGAATGCTCACAAACTGTCAAATTTTATTTTTCCATTCAATAGTGCAAAAATGTGACTGGATTAAATCAAAATTATGATTACAGATATAGAATTGGAGGAAAATTCTAGACTTTTAACCATAATCCAGCGTACTCATCAGAAAGAAACTCAATATATCTGATTGATCTATATGAAAAAAACAAAAAGAAACCATCTGATAAATTGACTTTATTTGTGTCACCAACATTGATGGAAAATGGAAAAGCATGGAGGATAAAGAAATAATAAATTATTATTTTGTCAAATTGCTTATTCCCAAATGAGAATTATCCCCTTTGTTTTCAAAGGACCTTCTTCTTAAGTTATGAAAGAATTTTAAATGACTTTTCTACCTTTTTCTACACAAATAAATATCAATAGAACATTTGATTGTGCAATCTCTGCTACTGTTTTCTCTCAACTGAAGTTTTGATTTTATTGTTGCACTATGTATGTTTTTAACATAACTCTTTTTATTGTTATTATTTTTTTTATTATTTCAAATTATTTTAAATTGGTTATCGCTGTCCCTTTGCTAGAGCATCTGAGTTTAACATTATGTTACAACTCTATGTTTCTTTGTTCTAATATTTATTTTCTTTAAAAAACAGAAATTCAGTGATGTTGTTATACTAGTTGGAACTTCATGCCTTCTATTGCTTTTTGTTTATCCAAATGCTTTATTAGGCTTATTTATTATTGCCAAACCAAAGGCTTTATTTTGTGAGTTTGACCTGTGGGAAATTTGGTAAAATTTCACTTAACTGAGTTTCAAGAACGAGCTCCTATCTAATAATACTGAAACATTACAAGCAACAAACCTTTTTTTCATCAAGGCCCCTAAAAGTTTATAAGAGAATGGTAAGAAGAAGTTGCAAAGCAAAATGGTAGATAAAGTCTGAATGGTTTAGTTTAGCTTTTTACACAGAGTTATCTATAGATAGTAAGCAAGTTTTTAACAAGTTTGTTAATAAATACTTGTGAATTGTGTTTTAAATGAAATTCAAATATAATAAAAGTTTAAAAAATGCTTCTTAAACAGTTATTTAACAGTTATTTTATTGGTGTTTTTAAAGTTTATTTATAATTAAAAGTTATTTATAACAGTTATTTTATTGGTGTTTTTAATGTTTATTTATAATTAAAAGTTGTTTATAAAATTATGTAAAAAACATTAAACAGTAAAATGTTTCAAAAAAAAAAAAATTCAAGGGTGTTTTTCAAGTGTTTCTTAACTTGTTTCTCTGCACAGCGGCCTTGTTCATTGAGGTTTGTGTTTCGGAGTTGTAGAGTTGAGAGAGGGTTGTAACCACAAAAGTAGCCTCCTTGACTGTAGTGGCCTTCTTGGCCCTGGAGAGGTAGATAATTAAAAAAAAATGTTGAAATGTGGTCTTTGTCAGTCATTATAAACTTGTGAATAAATGAACAGGTTTAATCCCAAGTAATTAATACTGGCTCTGTTCCAAAATACATTTTCGATTTGCATTCAAAAATAATTAAGAAAAATATGTTGTTAATTTTTTTTTCTTTTTTTTTTTTTTCGAACATATAACACTCTATTTGTATTAAATGTTCAGAATGTTGAAAAAATTAAAAAAATGATCATCTATTTTTAATAACTCTCTATGTTGAATGCAAATCAGAACATTTCAGAATAGAGAGAGTAATAAAAGATGGACTCATTTGTACCTTATACATTTGGTTTTTGTTATAACCATGGATTTACTAATTTCAAATTTATATTTTATGGTAATATCATGGTCTTAAATTTTGTCCACAGAATACTTGTATTTAAAAAATTATAACCTGTATATATTTATTATTGGTTATGGCCGCTGAGTAATTTAATAAAAACTTTTTAGTTTAAAAAAATTTATATTTTAAATTTTCAAAATTTTAATTGCTAAATATTTTAAGCTTTTGTGATCATTTAACGATGTAATTAGTAATTTAAAATATTATTAGAAACATTTTTATAAAATGTACTCAATCTGGTTAAAAGTAAAAAAAAATGGTAAGGTGGAGGAGGCACTTTTTTTTTTTGGACTCTTGGATATAAGATTTCCTGTACTCGCCCCTGTGTTTGTATGTGTATTTTATGATTTGAAGTGGAGTTATTTTAATAATTACTAAAATATGGTTACACTACACTTGAAATATATATTTCAAGCATTCCAAAATGCAAGGTAGAAAAATTTATTTAAAAAATGCAAACAAAATAGGTATATATGGAAATTTTTTTTACATTTTTAAACATAATATCGACATAATTAACTGAAAATTTCCTTCTATTACAATTTTAATAAGAGCTAATCAAAGAGAGAGACTTCACCAGGAAAAAATAAAACAGCAATTGAACTCATTTTACTTTTTTTAACTGCCACATTGCCAATCCATTGAGCAGCTTGCCTGATAATGTAGTCTACTCTATATCTGTCAACACCTTTAAAGCAAGTCTTTATAGGTTGCAAAGTTACAATAGCTTGCTTGAAGCCAGCTATTGTAAGCTCATAATTCACAGCTCACAGCTCACAACTCTCCTTAATGGAAGTTGCTTTATAAGTTTAACAAAAGCTATTTATAATTTGACGGTCTACATTTTGTATTGTGTCAATTGTTTTTACTTTAGTTGTAACAAATAAATACTACTACTACTACCATCATTTGTTTTACATTTCTAACATAATATTGCTGTTTTACTTTTTGATTTTCATTTGTTTTACATTTAAAGGAAGTTTTTACAAAAGAAAAAACTTCACAGAAAAACGAAAGCAGATATTTATCACCGAAATACAACAACTTTATTGATTCCTTGAACAAACATTCCTTGTTAACTCCCAAAATACTCAAAGCAGTTAAAGAACAAAAATCTATAACATCAAGGATATTGGTTCTAGGTAATAATGAAGAAGGACCAGGAAAAAGGTTGCTAACAGTTGGTGACCGAGTTATAACAAAATTAAAATGCAATTGCTGTAAGTTTTTTTTTTTTTCTCTCTTTAGTTTTTTTTAGTTTTTTAGTTTTTTGTTAACAATTTCTTATTTTAGCTACTCATTCTTTAGTTTTTTGTTAACAATTTCTTATTTTAGCTACTCATTCTTTAGTTTTTTGTTAACAATTTCTTATTTTAGCTACTCATTCTTTAGTTTTTTGTTAACAATTTCTTATTTTAGCTACTCATTCTGGATCATTTGAAGAACATACAGGAACTGTCAAGTTTATTGGTTTTGTAGATGGGAATGATATAGATGTTTATGTTGGATTGAGAATGGATGATGAAGGTAAAAAAAAATTTGATGATTTGCAATTAGTATTTCAATATTTAATTTCAATAACTTATAGTAATAAATCTAATTCTTTCTGTAATATCAGTTTTTAAAGCAATTTTGGTTTACACTGTAACCAAAAGTAATTATTTTACTAAATACAGTTGTTGTTATATTATTATATATATTGTTAACTCTGACTGAAAATACTTCCTACTTTTAGGCTCTTGGTTGAATAAAGACTCAATAAAAACAAATCAAAATATTTAGTTGTTATATGTATCTGGCTTCTGTCTTTTATAAGACTCCCTAGGCAGACTTTAAGAGGGGTTGGCAGTAAATTCTTGTTGCACTCTGTTTCATCACATTGGTTGGCTTAGATTAAACATGTTTGAAATTATATTCTACTCAGGATGACAACAGCTAAATCTTTTTGACTCTAGTCATGGGATTTAGCTTCTTTGGTTGTCGGTATGTAATTCCTAAAAGGTGCAACTCAAACAAGTTTAAAAGTGCTGAAACCAGCTATTAGAATAGAAATGACAATGTAATTCATACCAGTTAAAACTGAAGTTATGTAGATTAATGAAGTTATTTCGATTAAGTTAAAATTATGTAGATTAATTAAGATTATGTAGATATAATTTTGGTGTATAACAGCCAACACAATAAAAAAATGCTAAAATTTGTTAATAGTTATAAGTTAAATATAATAGTAATAAGTTAATAATATTTAAAAACTTTGGCATATAAAGTTCGCCGAATGGTCACACACGAGCAATGAACGCTTGAGGGAAAAAATGAAGTACACTAGAATAAAGTAGAATTATTTTTTGAACAAAGCATATTGTAACAACGATTAAATAGTATTTGAAATTTGCAGTGTAAAATTTAAAATGTGGTTCTTAAATTGACTTTGACTTGTTGATTTAATGGTTTCTTGTGTATGAAAATTAGTTTTATAATATTCAATTAGGTTTTAACTTTATTTTGTCTAAACTTAATGTTTTGGTCTTTCTATTTTGAACTTATCAATTTTTCCCTTCCAATCAGAATTCCAAATAACTTGAGATGGATACTAATTACTTGTATAATAAACTAATAATACTTTTATCTATAAACTAAAATGTTTAATTCTTTCCATTTTTTTGTTTGCTTTTATCCATTCAAAGTAAAAATACCAAAATCTTTTCAACTTTTCTTTTTTGAGGGCACTAAAAGTGTTCAATGTTTTAGATTGATCAGCAGCAATGAAGTAACTGTATAGCGAATCAAGTTCCCTATTAACTAAAAACATAAATAGAGTACTTGAAAAAGTTAAACAAATAAAACCATCATTACTATTGTTTTAATCTACCCTTTAAAAATACTTGTGGTTTTGAAATTTTTATCCGTTGAATCTTACTTTTGTATAGTTCACCAGACTTACTTGCTCTTTGTAAGACATTTTCTTATCAACATTTATTAGTTTTACTTAAAACTAAAAAATGTTAAATCGTTACACTCACAAATGAAAACTCATCACACTGAATAAATGAATAGCTTGGTTCTAGTGCCATTGCCTCTGCTGGCTCTAAAACAAAAAGTCAACACTTTTTAACTGTATAAAATACGCAGCAGATTCTGAGTCTGATATTTTTTTATGACAGTTCGGGGCTTGCAGTGGCAATAATTTAACCTTAACAAAAGTTGTTAACTGGTAATAATTAACAAAAGTTGTTAACTGCTAATAGTTAACAAAAGTTTTTAACTGCTAATAATTAACAAAAGTTGTTAACTGCTAATAATTAACAAAAGTTGTTAACTGCTAATAATTAACAAAAGTTGTTAACTGCAAAAGTTGTGCTAATAATAATTACTATAGTTATTGAAACCATTTATATATTTTTGACAAATAGCAACAATCATGCTGAGTCAATTTTTCTTTACAACTCCTCAGATTATACTTCACTACTGATCTCTTGTGCAAACCATGTATTCATAAGTTTCATTTATTGTTTTCTCATGGTTCTATTATCTACTCCTAAATATTGAACTGAAAGGATTTAATCTACAATACTTGAGTTAGAAAGAATATGAACTGAACAATGCTTGCAAAATGTTTTACAGTGAAGAAATGTTAAACAGGTTCAGAAATTGACTTTAAACAACAGTATGATCTCAACATTAGCAACATAAGTCTCAACATTAGCAGTCTCAACATTAGCACCATAAGAATATTTATTGACTATTTTTTCAGTAGAAAAACTGTTTAAATTTCAATCAAATACCTGCATAGGTTAATCAATTATATTAAATTTTTAGTGATAACATTCCAATTAATTATAACGTTAATTAATTTTACTTTAATTAACTGTTTATCATTTTTTTAAATGTAACTATTAACCAAATTTTTTAGTTTTTGTTGCTATTAATCAGCGTATATTTAATGGGGCTTTTTTTTACTTCTATTTAGTCGTTTCCTACTTTTATGCTAAATTTTATTTTAAAACTATTTTTGTTCAGGCTAGGAGGTTTTTAAGCTGTTTATATAAATAAATGTTTTGTTATTTTGTAGTTGGGCATACGGATGGAAAAATTGGTAGTAAACGATATTTTTACTGTGAACCAAGGAGAGGAAGATTTGTTCGCCTTGAAGATGTTAAAGTATTTAATGATATGCAGGTATATCTTTGACAATTGATATAAGTGTCGTTTTCCTAAATATATGTTACCTATCTAAAGACATATTAAAAATAAAATTAAAAGTTATACGCTTAATATAGTTAATACAAAGTTATATAAAATATAAATATAAAAAAAGTTATTGTAAAATATAAAGTTATACATTTAACATAGTTATAGTTCAGTTATACGATAAATTTTTTTTTTTTACTTTGTTTTTAACTATTACGTCAGTGCTTCAAGTGAAGGTCAACTCTAGAATTTTGATAAAAAAATTCTTCTCGCTTACAACCATTTTTAATGTATTAAAGATGATCGAATTTTTTAAGATTTTTTTTTAATGTTTTTAGTATTAAAAATTAATATTCATTAAATATTTTCCTTTCAGTATACACGACCTCTGTTTAATACAAGCTTCTGACAAACGTCGAGTTTTAGCCCTGAAAATGTAGTATAGTGATAATTGGTATGCAAATTATGGTAGTACTTTTTGGTAACTTGTTTTCAGAGGTGATCGTTTTTTCATATACGAACGATCCATTATTTATATTTATATACAAATAAACCTTTAATGCATTTACAGTAAAAAAATCTTTGCGGGAAAAAAATAGAGTTCTGTCACCTTCAAAGAATTTTTTTTTTCTCGCATTTTAATTTGTTATATCAAATTGTTTTAATCGTTCTTATTAAAAACGATAAAAACTATAAATTTATAAATTTTTTATCTATAAAACTGATATAATTTTTTTTTTTAATATTTAAAAGAAAGTTATCAATAATTATTTATATTTGTAAATTTTAATAAGTTTTTCTATAAATTTTTATAAAATTATTATTGTAAAAATAAAATTTTTATGACAAGCTCATATAAGTTTGTATAGTTTATAATATTTTCATTAGTGAAAATTGTAACCAAATTAATGAAGCCTTATAGATAGTTTTCGATCATGTGATGTTATATATATATATATATATATATATATAACATATATATATATATATATATATATATATATATATATATATATATATATATATATATATATATACATATATATATATACATATATATATATACATATATATATATATATATATATACATATATATATATATATATATATATATATATATATATATATATATATATATATATATATATATATATATATATATATTCAAAAAAAAAGAGCACCTATCTTATTTACCCAGGCCCTAATTTAGTTCTAAAAAACAAAATTATATTTTAAAAATTCTAAAGGTCTTTTTAGAGTAGGGCATAACAGATCTGGCAAAATAATTAGGATCCAGATCCTACCCGGGTTTTTAAAATTTGGACCCGAATCCGCATCCAATTTTAACTTAAAACAAATAAAACTTTTTTACACATGAAATTTTTATTTTTAAAATATATATAACCATAAGTTTACTTTGTGAAATAAATTGTTTGTAGAATTTCATATCAAGAAACCTATTTTAGTTTTAATTTTCATCACGTTTATTATTTTTGTAGTAACTTTTTAAAAAGCTTAAGAAATCAAATTTTTTTATTGAGAGATTACTGAGTTCTTAATTATTTAATTCTTGTTTTAGTACTTTCAGCTGTGTTTTCATATTGAAGTTTTCTTCTACTTCGATTTCAAAATCATCTTTAGTATTTTTTTTACAATCTTCTTTGATTGCTTGAGGTAAAAGGCTTAGTAAAAGATTTTTAGCTAACGATATAACTGCGGATGTTTTGGCTTTACTCCAAAAGCATCTAAAGTAGCAGATAATAGAAAACTAGGGATGTTTAAATATTCCATGAGGTGAATCAAATTAGAATTTCTTATGATAAAATCTCTTGTTTTCAAAGCTGTTTTAGTCCAAAACTTTAGTTGGTTTCACATAAAGTACATCGCCTACTGCTAAACAGATTGCATGGGCATAGCAAAGGTGATGTGGATTGATTAAACGGCTTTCAATATACACAATTTGATGCATCATCAGCAATTGTACTAGCAATATCATTATTAAATTCAAGTCTGAATTCACTCAACTTTTCATTTGCTATCTCAACAAATTTTATGGATGGCATACTCCCAAAAATACATGCAAGTCCAAGATTATAAAGGCTTCCGCTTGTGTGCATTTTAATATTCATGTAACAACGCGTTTTAATTGATTTATCAACAATTAAACTTAATCTGAAATTGCTTTTAAGTCTTTTAATTCAGCTGTTAATTGAGCCTTAATGCCTTCAATATGATCTAGTAAAATATTTTTAATAGAAATTGAACTAGAAGGTATTTTTCGTCCTTTAGTTAAAGCAAATTCTCGTAGCCTCTTACTTTTGGCAACTGTGTTATACGAAAGTACATCAATTGCAATGAGATCCATTAGCGGATCATAAGACTTCTTGGGGCCCGGGGCTATTTTTGTTTTTGGAGGCCTTTTTATGGGCCAAAGCCTAAAAATGACTAAAAAAAAAAAAAAAGGTCCTCTAAAATTTTTGGGGGCTCCTAAATTTGCGGGGCCCGGGGCTATAGCCCCCCTCCCCTCCTCCTTGATTCGGCACTGATGAGATTTGTTAGTATATTGGCAATAGTATCTTTTGCTTGTCCAAAATTTTTGATATCATTTTGGGATGAACTCTGAACTGTTTTTGTAGGATGTAATAATGGTAATTCTATTTTTTGCTTTATCTTAAGATGGGGATAATACTTGAGTAGCTTCCATTAATTGTTACAATGACCGTACAGGTGTTGGATTGAGCAGTTTTATTTACTTTGCACTTTAAGAAATGCTCGCAAACAGAGCCATTGATTTTAAATCCTTGGAAAATACTTTAAAATTGTTTTTCTAAAAAGCAGCAATTTCAAACTATCCGTCCAGTCGGCAAGACGTCACTCTATTAAAAAATGTTGTTTTTAAATTAACCACCTTGACTTGGGGGAAAACAAATCAAAATACCAGTAGCGGTTTAATGAGTTAATTTTCAAAAAAAACTAAAAGGTTGTTGTGCAGAAGGTTTCACTATCAACATTTTAAAAAATCTAGATTTTAAGTCTTCCTAAAGATGAAATACTTAAAAGAAAGTGGTTGAATAAGATAAATCGAGCTGTAGATAGTAGTGCATTTAGCAACCAATGGTCTCCTAAATGTTTTAATTTTATGTTTGTTCAGAACACTTTATTACTGATGGGTTTCTTTTAATTTACATCTTAATTTAGTATTTGTAAATACCCTAAAAATTAGTATTTGTACATACCCTAAAATAATCAAAGTATTATGTAGAGAGCAATGAAAGGCATCATTTTATTTAAACAAAGCTTTAAAAGTAAATAAAAATAAAGTAAAATCGCCTAAAAGACTTATGTTTTGCTGACATCTTTCGGCTGTTTCTTTTGATTAGCTTTCAAAGTGATTGTAGGACATAAGATTATTGTTAAATAACGTTTTCTTGACTTTGCGAATAAGAATGAATAGTTTGTTTTCCTCCAATTCAATATGGTTACTTTTAATTTCGTAATATAGTCACGTGATTCCGACTGGATGAATGAGCAGGCTATAATGGTATCCAACATCAACATTATTAAAAGTAGTTTTATGTAAAAAATACCAGGAACCAAATTTCGAACCAAATAGGTCAGGATGCGGATCTCAAATAACTGTTATGGTTACCCGGGTTTTCGGTTCCAGATCTTGGATTCGACTATGCCCTACTTCAGAGGGTAAAAAAGTAAATTTTAGAACGTTTTGTATCATTTTTAAAACAGTTTGTAGGAAGAAATAAAATGAATAATTTTGAATTTTTTTGTAATTTATGTTTGTAATGACTTATTTAATCAAGATAAAATGGGCTGTATTCTCAAAAAAAATTTTAAACTTATAAAAATTGTTTCAAAAAACGCTAAAATTCATAAATGTTTAAAGAGTGGACATCCTGTTTTAGCAAAGCTAAAACAGGATGTCCACTCTGCTGGAAAAACTGGAAAAAAGTTTTTTTTAAAAAAAACAAGCTGGAAACACTGGAAAACTAATGCTTTGAGCAATATTGATGCTGGAAAAACTGGAGTTTTTTTTTTAATTTTTGTGTTGTAGCTTAATTTGTGTTTAGTTATTTATTTTTTAAGGTTATTTTAAATCTTATTAACAATATTTTAAAGTTTTAAAGTTTCATATTGAATCTTAAGTAAAACAAAAAATGCTTTGAAAGGATTACCTTTGAATGGATTGTGCTTTGCATTGAATAAATTGTGCTTTCCATTGAATGGATTGTACTTTCCATTGAGTGGATTGTATCCTTTATTTGTTAGTTGTTAATATTTTGTTTGTTTTTAACTTTTTTAAGTTAATTGCTTAAATTTGTGTTTCAGTCAGTGTTATAACTCTTCAGAGTTTCGTTAGATTTGTGTTTCAGTCATTGTTATAACTCTTCAGAGTTTCGTTAATCTTGTTTCAGTAATTCTGATATTTGTTAAATTTAGAAATAAACGCTATGGAAGTCCTTGCTTTTGTTGTCTTTTTTATCTGGATATAAAATTCTCAATGTTGTTATGTATAGTATTTAATTTAGTGTTAACGCTTTTTTAATTTATTACAGTTTTTTTTATTAAGTTATAGTACACAAATTTATGTAGTATTTAGTTTTACATTAAAAGTACAGGAGTTGTCTTTAAGACGATTTTTGCATCACTTTGGAAATATCACTAGTGCTGGAATTTAAGTGCTTTTTTAATACTGATGATAGAAAAAAATTTGGGTTTTAGAACCTAAATCTTTAAAAAACATATCTAAATGAAGCAATAAGTCCTGGAATATTTTTTAATTTTGAGTGGACACCCTTATAAAAGTACAAAATATTTTGAAAACTTATAAAACCTTCTTTTTTCGATACATTACTATATTGATTTTCGATTATAATCAGCTTCAGAAAAATTTATGAAAAATTGTAAAAGAGAGAGCCTGGAAAGTGAATGAAGATATGTTTTGTTTTTCTTGTAGTTATTTTTCAAAAGAAAGGTTCCCTGTCACGTCTCCTCAGAATATGCTCTGTTTATTAGGTCTTGAACTAGCTTAACTTCCCACTCAGAAAAGTGATAAATAACATCAAATCCCTTGGTTCTAAATTCTAATCTTGCCTAACCTCTAAGTTCTAGATAAAATTGTTGAATTTACAAAACTGTGGAGTCTTCATCCATTGAGTTTCTGCCTTTCCATGCCTAAGCACGTCAAAAACTAGTCACGGCCTGTCTGTTGTTAATGGAGTCAAACTAGGAGGCTTATCTTTACTATTTAATATAGCATGGTCCATTATCTAGCGCTTCAAAGGAAACAGACATCTTTGCAAACTAAATACTTTCGGCCATATCACCGCGTTTCCTAAATGGATCTAGACAGTAGCGTGATGACTCCTAAAAGAATATGCGGGATTTTTTAAAAAAGGTCCTTTTTTTTGCGAGATTTTACCAAATACGCTTCACTTGAAGGCCAATAAATATAAAAAAATTTTAAAACGGCACAATTTTATACTAAAGTAAACTTAGTAGCGTTATGAAAAGATAAGCATTGATATTATTGCTTAAAAATGTTATGATAGATTTCACACAAAGGTCAAATGTTTTGGAGAACGTAGAAAAATGAATGGATAATTTT